AATCAGAAATTTAATCTATTTAAAACAGAAGTACAAAACAATTTGGCCAGCCCCGCATATTTTATGAAAAAAGACATGTACCACGATTTCAAGATGAGAGGCAATTTCTTAAAAATCGAAGCGGTGTTCGAATTTACCAAGAAGGCTTACAAATGATTTGGAAACACAATCAGCATTATTGGAAAAGTTTGATAAGAATCCAACCCAAAGGATGGGACGCTAAAATTGAACAGTTCTACGTTATTGAAGGCGCAGAAAATATTCTGCCAGACAATGACATTTTGCCAAACCTGGGAATAAAATTATCCCAGCAACTGGCCCAACCCTCGAACTGGTTAAGCAAAGACATTTCCATAGGGCAATCCCGTCGGGAGACAAACATTCCACATCAGATATGAGTCGGACATTTTACATTTTCACTGCACGACACACCTGAACAGAATGATTTCAAACCCTATATTAACATCAAGAATCAGCAGATCAAAAAACAGAAAGCAGTCCAGAGAAGTAAAAGCAAAACGTACAACCATAAACCTTACTCCCAAGATTCAAACGTTGTATTGATCAACTACTCAAAGACAGCCAATTGGAAAATTTTCAAGAAGCTCGGACGATTGATCCATATACCAATCATTGTAGCGGCAAAAACTGATGGGTCAATCAATTCGGCTTTGAACTGAAAAAAGCTCAACAAAAAGTTAATTTATACTCGTTAACAAATGCCTAAAATAATTGAACTGAAAGATAACGTCGGTCTAATGACTAGTGGGAAAACGACAAAAACAAATATTCTGGTTTTCTTCGATAAATCTGAAAAATAACTGCAGCCAGATACCACTTTCGAAAATTTATTTATAATTGAAGATGATGTAACGGTCTCATATCGATTCAGAACAAGATTTTAAGGCCTAGGAGATATGCTAAATGAGTTCCGTGAAAAAGGGATCAATAAGATAATGATGTGATTTTAATCGCTACAATCGGTTTTGCTAGGATTCTTGGTAGTTTGGTTCCAGACAAATTTTTAAGATTTCATCCAGAAAATGAGAGAAATACCAATTTTTAAATCATTTTTTGGAATGACAATGATTCAAATCTTACGTTAAAAAAACCAGGTTTGTGAACGCTTCTCTTCCTGTCAAGCTGTTAATTTTTTCACTCTAAATGAGATAGTTTGGACCCATTTGATTCAATCGAACGAAACTCCGAAGATTCAATTAATACTGTTGTAAATAAAACCTCTAGTGTTTTACTCAGTACAATTAAATTAAAAGACATGAGTGAAGGTCAAATTAATGAGCAAACGCAAATCCCAGGAGCCACAAAACTTGAGCTGTTTCCATTCTCTTGGCCGGAAAGCTTTTACACTAAATAAATGGACCTCATTAGCAAACAGGATCTAGTGTTAAAAAAACTATCGAAGCTATAGTCGAAGGTCGCAACGAGACATTTTACAAAATTGAATACAAGACAAACCTTTTATTAACAACCTTTATGCCAATGAGTAATGCCTGTATTTTGACGTGAGAGTAGTCAATCCCACCTGCCCAATAGCAACCATGCTCCACTCCACTCCACAAAGACCACACAGGATAGTTCGCCATTACATTTTAGCCATGCGGTATATCTGGTGGACAAAAAACACCGGGAGATACAGATGCACGGAGGAACTGCCTTGAGATTATTATAGCGGGTAAGTTCTAAAAACACTATCTAATCAATGAGATCTGGAGATTCTCCACTCAGCCGTGAGACCGAATCAAGAAACGGAACTGGAATTTGCCGTTTCGCTACTTCAACATGGGAAACAAAAAATTACCTTCTCGTATGTATAATTTGAGATTCAAAATCTCCTTCAGCAAGAGTAATATCCAGCACAACATCGAAGTCGGTCAATTGTTTTCTCAGAAATTGTATAGCATTATATGAGATATCTAGATGGAATGTTAGAAGGGACCATGGGTCGGGTTTGTGTTCTAGAGAAGTCCGCGAACTACAGAGTCATTAGTTTACTCAAACAATTAAAAAAACTACAACGAATAAATTATGGTTATGGAGCAAGAAAAACCAAAACCTCATCTGGAACGTTCACTAAACAAACTCATAAACAACTTAAGCAAACTAACACAAAAACCTCTTAGCTGCTTGTTTTTTGAAGATCCTCCAATTCGACAGAACATCTAACACAATTTGGCATAATCTATTAAAACGCTTGTCCTAAAACAACAAAAGTTGGAACAAAACTCTTCCTGTTGGAAGAAAGCTATTAAGCTTTCCGGACCATATATAAGATGGACATGGTGATTCCGACTCATCTAAATCAAAAGATGCTGGTAATGCAACAAAATAGCTTCCAACCTCTCGGGATTCCCGGTCACGTTCGTCTCACGTGCGGAGGAACAGAAAGCCCTGGGATTATCGAATCTCAAAGATTATTCGATTGGCTTCTCTCCTTATACCAGACATCGCTAATTGGATGAAGAACACGTCAATAATCGAGTCAATGTACCTTCTGGGATGCACCATGACAATGGGCGAGCTTAAACGCTGGGCAGCGTACAAGGCAACTAAGCGGGACCCCGCCTGGAAAGTATGTTCTAAAACTGAAACTCGCCTTCTAAAAAACTTTTTTCATAGTTTTTTTGTTTTTGTTATTCAAATCTATTTTTGACCGTTGTGTCTTCTTCATCCAAAATTGGTTTTCTGATATGTGCTCTTAGGTACCATTTCATACTGCTGGATAAACCGCTTCACACTCGAGTGAGCTTTGAGTTATTTTCAAACAAATTTTAAAACCATTTTCACATATCTTCTTTTGCTGCTAAATTTAACACACGAGATCACCACTTGGTTGTACTTTTAGTTGCCTCATCAGGCACCTTTCTTGGCTGGAAAGTTAACAGTTATTTATTCTGTATCTCCATCAATTACCAACATTTTAAAAATTTTTTGAAAAGGATTGTAAAAGGTACGCTTTATTCCTCATGCTTAATTTCTATTAGAAAAGCATTCAATGTACCTCCTAAAAAGGCATCGGTTCTTGGTTTCTTATGACTTCGTTCATTGTTCTTTTTATTGAAACCAGTCTTAATTCAAAACGTTCTACGTTTAGTTTTACACTAGTCTTTTAAGAAAATTGAAAAAGCATAGAAAAATTGAATCCCAGTGTTTTAGTTTTTTCTTTTTTTTCCTACGCAAAATCAGGTACCACAAACAACCCTTGGACTGGTTTGAGTGATATTTCATTTTAAAGCCGATTCAATCGTAATTCGAACCACATTAAAAATTTCGAAAGTGTCGAGAAAAACCGGCATGGAAACTTTTGATTTTCCGTCCTAACTCGGCAAATAAAGCAGGCGAGCAGGCTTACAACAATTGAAATCAGCAAACCTGCCTGTTTTAAGTCCTTGAATTTTAATGCGAAGCAAGTAATCTAGTCTTTTAGCTTCATTTTGGGAACCAAAGTCTTCAAAATTAAAACTGTTCTGCAAATTTGTTCGTTATTTTTTCTAGTAATTTTTCCACAATAAGTTTGTCCCATTTGCCTATATTACTATTACTGTCAGGTATGCCTAATACATAAATTTACGTCAGATCTTTTTATCACACCAAGCAGGAAAAACTACATTAGTTTGGAAAAAAAAATTTCTAAACTGTAGTTTTCTAAAGTCTATGGTACGAACATTCTGCGCTACTTGCACAGTAACTGACTACCTTGTTTTAAATTAGTCTTAGTTTAAAAAACTAACTTATAGTCGCTGCTCATTTTTATTATCAAGATTAGTCTCTCTTAGTCTCTTTGAAAAAAAAAAACACGAAGTGCAGTTTTTGGGCAATTATTTGAAGAAGGAAAGCTTTTTTTTTGGCCTGCGCTCTCTTTAAAACTTTTCCTACGAAAACCTTTATATTTATTGTCCGAAAGTGTCGCATTTTAAATTGTTTTTCGACTTTATAGCTTTTCAGTCTAAATTGAGTTATAGGTCTGCCTGGTATGAAATTCAATGCAGCGTGGGCCTTCATGAGTGTGAAGTGTGAGTGTGCGGCTGGCCACAGATGGGATGAACTGCAAGGACTGTGTGTAAAGAGTTCCCTCTGCTACATTCACTCTCCCTGCTTCCACAATGGAACAGAGAGATGCGACGATATAGACGTCGAAGATTTCAAGTGGGTCGTCACTTCATTGACCATATGTACAATGTCCCCCGGGCCCTTTTTTGCACTATTTTGAATACTCAAAATTTGCGATAATCCATTGCTAATTCAACGTTAGGAAATTTCAGCCTTTTGCAGCGGTAAATCACCCCCAATTCAGGACTAAATTTGATAAATAATAGAGTTTTTCGTTTTCATCATGTGGATGTAAGATGTAAAAATCACGCAACTTCTTTAAAGCTATTTTGAGTTGACAGCTGCTGTAGGTACGAAAATTCGATATTTAAATCGGGGGCGGATTTGGTGGGGGGTGGGGGGGTTGGACGCCCCCCTTTCCTCAGGGATTCAACTCCCTGCCGACCCAAATGGTCCCCCCTTTGATACTTTTTCAGAAATATGTTTTTGGCCGACCGATCCTAAAATTTTTCCAAATATATAATAACTTTGAGGGGGAGCGCGCGCCAAAAAAAACGCGATTTTTTGTCTAAATTTTTCAAAAAGTGGCCAAATAACGGCTTTTTTGACTGTTTTTTTTTTTAAATTTGCCTGCGGCGCAGAAAATTTAGCCAAAATAGGGGCAAAACAGTGCTTTGGGAGAGCTCGAAAAATCAATTTGGTCGACCTAAAAAAAACAGGTCGTCAAAATTTTCGATTTTTTTTTTTGAAAATCCGCCCCCCCCCCTCGAGAAAATCCTAGATCCGCCCCTGATTTAAATATTTCCATTGCTTGCTGGTCGCTGTTTTTTTTTTCTGTGAGTTCAATGGAAGCTTCCTACTCAATCTCTTAACTGTCAATTGTACATGGAAACAGGGGCTGATTAATGTTGGTCCTTTTATGGCTAGTTTTTGACCTTTTACATCGAAAATTTGGCTTTCTCTTCATAGTTCTGCGCAAAACGAAATGTTTGAAAAATGAATGAATAATTATATCACGCACCGTGTTCTGTTGAAGGTGCACCTGTAAACATGGCTACAGTGGAACTTATTGTGATCAAGTGAACATGTGTGTCACGGAACACCTCTGTGAGCCTCACGGCCAGTGCTCAAAGGTCAAGGGCAGGTCATCACAATTGGGCCACGTGTACAGGTGCAACTGCTCAGAGGGATACAGAGACGACCCCACAAGTCCAGTGCCTGATTGTACCATACTTAAACAGGTAAAACTAGGTAATAAAAGCAATAAATTTGTTTTCAAGAATGGAACGCTGTTAGTTTATTATTTTCAAAGTGTATCCAAAAAAATATCTTAAAAGAGAAAACTCCAAAAAGACCAGTTGACTGCCTATTAGCTACTTAGAAGCGTCCAGCCAGTTGCTCTCCGTGTACCCTATAATTTTCTAACTCCATCTAAACATGGATTTTCAAAAAAAATATACAAAAAAAACTAACACAAAAATTGTAGTCAAACATTTTGATCGTGTTTTTGAGGGTAGCTGGCTAAAAGCAAAACTCATATTTTGTTAAGAAAACTCATCATTTTACTATTAATTTAATTACAAAACCGTAGTCACCAGTTCTCTTTCAATTTTGGCTGTTTGACTCTAAATCAGGGAAACCCTTGTCAGAAAAACCAGAAACCATCATAAAACAAGATAGTCGATGATGCTCCAGTAGCGCAAAGTGTTTTGACAAGAGAAACTTTTCTAATTTTCATTCGACTTGGCTTTAACGCTAAAAATGGATGAATTATTGATAGAATATAAGAAAACGCTCCATAAATTTATTCCGAAAATGGAAAAACTTGAATATGATACCCAAATTGATCCATGCGAGCTTTCTTTGAACTTATAGATTCAAAGCGGAGAAAAATACATGCCAATCATTAGTTATTTTCCGATCCTTCAAGGGGTGGGCACAGGGGCGGATCTAGGATTGTCTCCAGGGGTGAGGGCGGATTTTCAAAAAAAAAAATCGAAAATATTGTCCACTTTTTTTTAAGTCGAACAAATTGAAAATTTGAGCTCTCCTAAATCACTATAAAGACCCCATTTTAACCAAATTTTCTGCGCCACAGGCAAAATTTTGAAAAAAAAACAGGCCAAACAGTCCGATTTTAGGCCTTTTTTGGAAAATGTTGACCAAAAAATCGCGTTTTTTCGGCGCGTTTCAAAATGTTGATCAAAATGTTGACCAAAAATCGTGTTTTTTCCGCTCCTCTCAAAATAAGTGTAAATTGGCGCCTTTAGACAAGTTTTAGGGTTGGTCGCCAAAAATGGATATCTCAAAATAGTACCAAGGGACACCCTTCGGGTCGGCAGATGGTCCAATCAGTTTTTTGTTTTCCCCTGACAGAGTACAATGAGTAATTGTTGAGTAAATTTTGAGAGTGATTGAGTAATTTTTGAGCAAAAATTGTAATTAAAAATAGTCAGGGTATGTAAAACTTGAGCCACATCACCAGGCCATTTTGTGCATTTTCTGATTTCGCAACAGTCTGAAAACATATTTGTCGCGGAATCCACAACAGTGCTTTTTTTATCTACTTTGCTGTTTTTGAATCCAAAGACCAACAGATAAAATATTGCATCTGAAAAATTGCTCCAAAATAGTCAATTTTACGAAGTCCGCAATGAAATCTGCGAAATTCGGAACCGTTGGAATGAACAAACAAAATCAATATGTGTTTAGTAAAATTACGCTGCTGTGGAGTCGGCAATTTTAGGCGAAATCCGGAAACTGTAAGGAGGACCGCAAAATTGTAAGTGGGATCCGCCAACTGTAGGCGAAATCCGAATATTGTTGTCTGACTCCAGTAACATATATACAAAACATATAGACACAGTTTACGTTACAGTTTAACTCTAACGCTACCAACAGATCGATGGAAGCAACCAGCTCCTACAAGCTACCATTTCGAACATTTCAATCTCAAATACGGCCTTTTTTCATATAAATTTCAAATATGTAAAATTTTTGAGTAAATTGCTATATTAAGATTAGAGTAGGCGAGATTCAATTTGTTTTCCGAAGTTTAATCTGAGTTTATTAAAGCGCCGCGAGGTAAGAAATAGGAATAAGAAATAGGAACTTAGAAAGTAAGTGCAGAACAGTTTTAAATGAAAATCTTGTGTGGAACATTGTTACCGCTCAGTAATTATCCAATGAGAATTATCCCAAATGAAGAAGTATACCATTTGCTTTCAGTTTACAGAGTCTGATCTTCACGCTTATTCCAAATTATGATCCCAAAAACTGGTAACTGATAAATGAAAAAAATTTTCTGGAAAATTTAACTCAAACACTTAATGGATCGTTAACATTTTTTTAACCAATCATTTATGATTTGTAATTGGACTCCACTGTCAATGGCTGAGCAATTGTGTTCAACTTCCGCACTTGGAAGAAACTTGTTCTAGCTATAGCTTTTAATTGTTCATGCACGAACATTTGACAAATCCACTTCCAAAATTGCTACTCGCAAAACTGCAGAAAACTACAAAACTGCTACTCCCAAAACAGCACAATCTGGATGCAGTTTGTGGAATACGCTTAGCTTTGCGGTAGAATTTGGAACAACTAGCTACCTCGGCTCGTTGCGGAATCTGCATAAAATCTAATGTGCCGACAAGAATAACCTCATTGTCATTTGTGCACGAAATCATCGGAATTTTTATAGTTAAAATCCACTTTATTTTTTAAAGCTTTATTTTTGGTTTCCAGTGACCTACAGACAGAAATTTAAGGGCTTATCAGTGCACAATTTGGGCACGTAATGCCTACTTAGAATGTAAATCTTGCAAGACCCGTGCGAGCAAATACAACCCTTGCCAACATATCGCAAAAGTTTCTCAAGAGTGCATTCGCATGAAAAGAAGAATCGATTACAATTCAAAACCTGCAAAAATTGAACAAGATTCAACACTTTTTTGACGGGCAGCTTGAAATGCAAATGATGCCGGATACTCCCTTACATTTAACCCGAAGAGTTTTTACCGATGATGTTTATATAGTAAATGCGTTACAATCAAATGAATTTACAATATTTGATTTTTTTCCCAACAATTGATTGTCATTAGCTTTCAGAGAATCATAAGTTATAAATTTGGAAAACCATAACTTAGATTTCCAATTCGCCAAAAAGAAAGAAAAGTATAGCCGAAAAACTTGATTTCATACTCCTTGAAACTTTTTATGTATCTTAAGTCTTGGAAAACTTTTTCCCAACAACCGATTAAGGCAGCTACCTAAGACAACCTAAAACAACTAACAGCACAACCGATTGAAATATAAAATATAGCGGAATAAAAATCTTGCCTTTTTTTGCGAATAGAATGAAGGTTGGCAAGTCGAAGGCAAGTCTCGATTGGAAAAAGTAAGATGAATGCGTTCGTTCGCAAACATTTTTGAAAAAACGTTTTAAAAAACTTGCCTTCCAAGACCACTAGAAAAGGCTGGGATATTGGCTAATCTTAGTTCAGCATTTCATATTAAAAAAAAGAAACTGAAAAAAGATGTTTTGGACATTACTAAGGACGCTATTTGGTTCAAAGTTTTGGGGAATTCGGTCCTCTCGTCATAATTACAGCCTCTTTTTTCCAACTAAAAGGTTGCAATTATCAATTTCATGAAAAAAAAGAGAGATCACCAGAAATCGTTTTAACCATCTTATTTGATTTGTTTTCAGTCTCTCTTCGCCTACAGAGACTACACTCCTCCCTTCGTGTATTACGTCATAGTCGGCTGCTGTGTCGTGTCCATTATGCTCGCCTACTTCATTGTTCACATGGAAAAGAGAAGGAAAAGACCAGGAAAATTAAATCAAAAGAGACTAAAAAGAGAAAATTTGAGGGAGCATTTGGAAAAGAAACAGAGACCTCAATCATCTTCTGGACAATCGGAAACAGGAACATAAGTCAAGAATAACATTGACGCACCCCAAACTGAATTACCAATTAAATCGTATTCATGTAAATATTTTTTTAAAATTAAGCGTCACAGTGAATAATGCAAAAAACAGAAAAGCCAATCAGATAGGTTTTCAACTCAACCAAATAGGTTCTAGAAATCGTGACGGGGAGCTTGATTTTTTCATGGAGTTACTTGTAAATTCATGATGAAAAAACTGCACGCAAGACATGCACCGCACGGGTATCGAGAGAAAACGGCCCTCTATAAGATTAGGAGAAGGAACGCGCGGAAATTGGCGCTTGGATTTTAAGTTTCGAAAATTTTGCGATTTCGAGCGGAATAAAAATTTTATATCACACCTGTTCTATACGTTGATTTTGTATAAAACAATAAAAATCTGAGATTTTTTAAGTTAAAAAAACAAATTGTTTTTTGAAACTTGAGAGTGGAAGTTAAATTTGCTGCAGTAAATCATGAGTTTTATTGTTTTCTGAAGCTTGTTTTGCTTTTTGACCTACCTATTGGTTATAATCAGCTAAAAAAATGAACAAAACTGCTTTTATGAATTCTAATTTCCTGTACTAAACAAGGATTTGTGAAATTAATTTATGGACTTGTGAAATTAATTTGGCTCAGGATTTTGTCAAGAATTTAATTTAGCAGGAATTATCAGGAATTTAATTCATCAGGAAGTTCAAACTTTATTTCGAGTTTAAAGACAGTTTTTAAAAAACGCAGTGTACACTTAAGCAGCTGTCAATCATTTTTGCGCAAAGCGGACTTTAAAAATCTGCGATGTTTTTCAAAGCAAATTTACAAAATCTTTTTCAAAAACAAGTCAGAAACTTGAAACTGCAAATTTAGTGTGTTTTGAAACCGGTAAGAACCAAACTGCAAAGAGAAAAGTCGATTATCGAGAAAAAACATGATGAACATGATTGAAAACAAATGATAAAGAAAATAAGCACTATGATAAAGACATTCGCAAAAGTATTCCATGTTAAAATTTAACAAACTAAAAACTTTTGAGAGAGAGAGAGAAACACTTTCATCGGTGTCAGAATCCGAAACAAAATTGGCTGGTAGACACTCATTACCTACTTACAAATGTGCAATAGTGCGCGTCATAATAGCATACACATTATAATATTTAAAAACGTAAGAGAACAGAAATACTTTCTCAATTTATCCTAAAATCCTTGCAGCTTTTCCCAAGTTTGTGTAAAAAAAAACGTTGGAAACAACTTGATATGAAGAACGGAGAACGTCCCAGAGATAATATGGGTTTTTTTTCTTAATATTGTTTCATCACACAACGGTTTTAGGAAATATTGGGTTTTCTGTTATTTGAGATTTTGGTATTTGTTTGATGAAAAGTATTCCTGTTCTTTGGTTTCCAAAATTTCGCATTCTATCCTATACCTTATTGGCAAGATTCTATGTTTTTTTGGGAGGTAGTTGATTTAGTCCTAATCGATTGACAACATGCCCGGAACTGCAGTTTAGTTATTTTTCCAAAGTTCCGAGCAATCTCTCAGTCAAAGATGTCTTGGAAACCGCCAAACAGTCTAAGTGTGATATCACTTAGCTTTCCAGTAGTGATAATTTAAGGTTATCCCCTAAGGTATGTTTTGTTTTTGTTGCGAATGCCTTTTTTGTGGAACATTTAAAAATTTTTAGAATCTTGGTTGAATTTTAGCATACTATCAAATTTGACCCCAAGATAGTTAAAAACCTCTTTTTTCTTGATTTAGCTTCAATTACAAAAAATTATTGATCCTCTGTTTTTGATCTCAAGTTCGTTTCGTAGAAAATCATTAGTTCTGTATATCGGATTTAAGAGATAAATTATTAGATTGGAAGTAATCATATGAATTAGAAATTTTTTTTTCACTTGTATCTTGTCAGATGCATAAAAAACATTGTATCATTTGAAATTTTTGGAGCAGTAATCACTAATATTATTGATGTACGGTAAAATTAAAAGGGGTCCAAGAATAGTTCTTTGTGGAACGCCTTGTTTAACCCAGAGCCAATCAGAATAACTGATGTTGATTTTAACTCTTTGTGTTCGATTAGTAAGGGACGCTGAAATCAAAGAAAAAGAGTCAGAATTGCAGCCTATATATTTTTTAGTTTTTGAAGTAACAAATTGTGGCTGATGGAGTCAAGTGACCTTGAAAGGTCTATAAAAAGAGTTTTTACGAAACTAGTCTCCTCTATGTCTGCCCGCAAATTTTCAGTTAGCTTTAAAAAAGCATCTGTTTTAGAGAAAAGCTTTCAAAAATCAAATTGATTATCATTTAGAATGGAAGTACAATATAAACAGTCATTAAATTATTTGGCTAGTATTCGTGCAAAAACGTTAGCAAGACCAGGTGATAAAGGTATTGGCCTGTAATTAGATTAGACAGGCCTGTAATTGGGTCTAAAATGTCAGTTTTTTTAATTATTGGCGTCAAAATTGCTTGTTTGAAAATATCGGGAAAAATGCAGGATCCCTTGTTTTCATTTGTAGATTTTGTTAGCGGGCTGTTAAACTCCGTTTGCCCATCAGTTAATGCCCATGTTTTATTTTCCAATTTCCTGACGGTTTTCTTGGATGCAACTTTTTTATGGCATCTAGGCTTTTTTCTGTGACAAATTGGAACAAAAATGGGTGATATGTGTTCATTACAACCAGCTTTAAACACACCCAAAGTAGAAAAAACTGTTACTTAGCACACTTGACATTTTTTAATCATCGGATAAAAAATAGCCAAAAGAATTATTCAGTGCATCGTTTTGGGACAGGTTTTTATTTGGATCACGTAGTTTGTTAACAAAATCCCGTTTTTCTTGCAGGTATTTAATGAAGAATATGAAATTCTAGGCTTACCTAAGAATTTCTTGGCCTCATTCCTGTAATGAACGCCGAATTTCCCTCCCCTTTTTGAGACCCCTCTCTGGACGCGGTAGTACAGGTAGATTGCCTCCGCGCCATCCCGACCGCGTTTGTGCCCCGCGACGTAATTCCATCGGGACCTTCTTTTTCGTCCTGAGCATCGTAATTATGCACACCGAGGAATTCCGCCCGAATATGCAAATACGACTCGAGAACTCCTCGGTCTAATAACGATAAACTCGGGTCAAAAGGTGAGAAATAAAACGATTGAGATCGCGACTGCTGTTTCCGCTGTTGTTCTCTGAGATTTTTCTGGAGCTGAATGGAAACGGCGTATTTCCCGTTAATGTAAGCAGTCCAGAAAACAACTCGAATAAGGGCGGGCACACTCAACTTTAATCGGCTCCTGCGTAGAGGGATTTATTGTTCCGCAGTCCTCAGTGTGGACGGGGGTTTTACCCACGTTAAGACCCAACCGGCGCATTCTTCGCAAGGAAAGCTAACGTCCCTGAGTATTCACGAAGGGACTCGGTGAAGTACTTAGACCTGACCTCAAGTTCAAGTTGTTCACTGCCCCCTTTGTGGTTCAAGTCATCCCCGTGTACAGCGCGCAGAATAGGTACAATCGTATTCTCATTTAGAACAATTTTCCCGTCCCGGTACAAATTTTGCGTTTTAAAGGAATAGAAGGAAGCTTTACATCGAAACGTTGCCTTCTCTACCCTACTTAAGTTAGGAGGGATAACATCCCTACCCTCGGGTTTACTGAATGCTATCGACTACGTGGTATTATGCGAGAGCTGAAGAGTGCTACGTAACTCGGTATTGACGGTTCGATACGATAGGTAGTAAAGTAAACTAATAGTCATACCCAAAATAAGTTTAAATCTTCAAAGATATAGCCCCTCTTATGGCAGAAAACTCAGGTGAAGTAAAATCTGCGGATCCCCCCCCCCCAAATGGGAACTACAGTGGCTAGGTTTATGAAACTCAAAGGACGGATAGTAGAGATGATTTGACCCGGGCATGCAAAAATCCATAACCACTGGACCCCCCGGCGCCAAGTGATAACGGTTCCCGGAAGTGCAAATGGCCCTATCAGAACACGGTAACTAGCGGTTGGAATGGAACCAAAATATAGTATATTATAGACCTAGTTGAAAGAAGCTTCAGTTTAGAAACCCAGATCTCTCAGACCCCACTTCCGGTTTTATGCCCTAAGTAAACAAACCCACCCTAACTTCCGGAAGTCGTTTCTCGGCCTCCAATGATCGCAGGGAGCTGAAACTTGGAGGGATGATAGGTAGTGGCAAGATGCATCAAATCCGGTGGTTGGACCGGAAGCTATTAGCACTTGGAAAAACACCCCCATAGACCGGAAGTAGGCAATTTGCGCGGAATAATGAAAGAGGGCATATCGATTTTATTGCGGCAATGAACATAAGATACGGACCACGAAAAAAGACCCCTTGTGGTTGAAACCCCTCCGGTGACTCCTTCCGGTGTTAATAGCCTTTTACCGGGAAAAGTGATAAGTTATCACAGAAATGGGATAACTTAGGAAGTATTAACGGGATACAGATGAAACTTGGTAGTTAGGGCCCCCACGGGATTCTGAACTCAAATATGGAAGCTTGACCCCGGTTGACTCCCGGGTGACCTTAAGTTGACTTTTGGGCTCTTTGACCCAAAAATTGTATAGAAAACCTCGGGATTAACCCGGAAAGTGGCGTATTCACCAGCCCAACCTCTGGAAATGAAATTTGGTCACCTTGCTAAAATTTGCGGGGAAAACTTATATATTGGGAACTAGAGCAGAAGCTGATAGAGATATAGCTTTTACATTGCAACCTTGGATTAGAGGATTTAATTTAAAGTGGACTTGGTAAACATTGGGTTTAATTTAGCTTGGCGAATGCGCTAATAATAGAATATCAATCAGGGTAAAAGAAAAGTAGTCCCAGAGGAAATTGGTAGTAATAGAGGCATAGCATGAGGGTTAAGTTTCCTAAATGGTATGAATGGTGGGGAAATTTACTTGGACCTCCGGAGGTGACTTTTTGGTTTAATTTGACCCCTAAAAGACGAACTACGTTACCCTGATAGCTAGCAGGTCCGGA